TAGCTATCTGTGCCCGTGCATGAAACACCAACACTATGTGCTATGCCAGAGTGCTTCTCTTAAGTTGCATCGTGATGACGTCAAGTGTGCACAAATGTGCTCAGACACAAATACGTGGCAACCATGCCTAGTGTGAGAACATCTTTAGTATTCTCCACAAATGTAGGGCCACACTGAGAGCAGTATACAATACATCTCATTCCTTTCTTTGCAATAACTCAGCCAGGGAAAGTACATGAGCCAATAGTAGTCTACTTGTGGACCAGACGCATGTATTAGACATTCTGGGTAGAACTGTCCTCAAGCCACGTTATGATGGCCATAGCCTCACAATAGTTCACATGAAATTGTTTCTCTTAATGGAAAACTGTTGTAATTGTGGGTGTAAATCTTTTGTGTCATATTTAAAATGTATATGTTTAATCTTGTAGCCAGGTCTCACTTGAAAAAGGGATAATGATCTCAATGAGACTACCTATTTAAATGTAGGAATTAAAAAAAGATAGCAGACAGGAATGGCTTCCAGGTCGAGAATAGAACAAGAAGCAATCAAATAAGGGAACTGGGATGTACCCACTCTACCTGTACTGTAGTAAACATATTACATGGCTCTGGCACTGCATTTTTTTAAATGACCAGTTGAACCAAAAATCATTACAGTCCTACAGGCAAAATCCTAATGCACTGACTAAGAATAATTTGATGAAGTAAGCTGAATTAATTTCTGCCACATCAAAGTTCAGGGCAGAGATAAAGATAGAGAGTAGGAGAGAGAGAGGCCCCTGGGCTGGGACACAGAAATGGTTTCATATAACCAGTAGTGGGGTAAAGTAGCTCCACAAACCCTTTACTGCTACAGAAGGAGGAATACACTAATGTTATCTATGGGAATTAAAGCATGGATTTTTAATTGAGAGAAAATGCTGCTGAGGAATTCGTAATAAAATACAGATGAAGGGAAAATAAATGTGTTCTAGTTCTAGTTTATGTCCTGCTATTATGGTGCTTCATATTACAATTCAGTTAAGATCAGCTGTCTCCTTGGCAACTGAGCTAACCTAATCAGTCGACAAAAACTAAAACATTAGTTAGACAGTCAGTGGACCTTGAATTAAAACAAATATATAAAAGTACTATTACCAAGGTCAAGAAAGATCTTCCAGTTTAATTAATGTTGTCTACAAGGCTCCAGACTAATATTTCATACTGGTAGCATTGGTACCACAGTCTCTCAGAAGATACCACCAGTTCCAGATTTGGTGGCACCACTTCTGTTTTCAATGCAACTTAATAGAAAGAAACTGCAAATTGTTTTAAATGATCTTATCATAAGCTGTGGATATACAGTATGTGCGATGAAATTCAAAGAGAGAGACTTGCATCATGTGGTTCACAACAAATGGAGAAAAAGCACTTCTGGGACAATCTCCTCTTTACTACTAGGCTATAGAGCACTAAACAATGAAATTGATGACACTGATGACGATGATTATATTACATTTTAGGTAAAACAGTATGTAATCTCTCTTTGAGCTACTACAAGTCTTAATCAAACATGTTTTTGAAGAATGCAAGATATCTTCTGCTGATAGTTATCAAAAAAATCCCAGAAAAAACCTAGATAGCAATATCGTACACCCCTATCTACCACCATGGCATGAAGTGTATGAAAATCTGTGACAGTAGAAAAAAGTATATTTTCTCAGTGTGAAGAAAAAAAAACACTTTTTTACCTAAAGCAGTGCGCAACCATCACTGCAGTGCTGATGTCATTAACAATAAGCGAGACTTATAAAACCATCAACTTGTCTCACACAAAAAGCCAAAAGAACTTTGTCTAGCCTAAATAAAGTGCAATATTAGAATTAGCAGTCTATAAATATACCATTGATTACTTTTGCCATACAGGGTGACCATAAGAACAATGTGGTATACAAACAATTAACTGATCAACAAAGTCTTATCTTCTTCTTAAAAGTGACCAAGTAGATAACATTGGATGGCAATGTTTCCACTACGATCATTCACAGAACAGCATACTAATTCCACACACTGGTAGAAAACCAGCACACAGACATTAGAGCTGGAACAAACTACACACTGTCCCACTGGAATTTTGTGGATCTGCTTGATAAGCATCCAAACTTATGCTGGATCCACAGTCATTTATTATTCACTATACTGTGTTTGGTCATAATGTAATTTAAGTTTAATTGTAATCAAAATTAAGATCCACAGCAAGTGTTTCCAAGGCCCTGAGGCACAACAATTAAGTAGCAACATAAGTGAAAATTATAAGAATATAAAGTATTTAACATCAGCTCCACCTTTACCAGTTGCAGCATTAAAGTGATGAACACAATAAGAAGAACAGGAATTATAATCCAATAATATAATATACACTACCAGTCAAACGTGTGGGCACTCTTTCTAATATGTTTGTATTTTTGCAAAAGTAAAATGATTAAATTTCACTTAAATTAAAGACCTGAGTAGCCTACCTCCTCTGCCACTGGTAGGCCTATATCACAGTGTGCTGTAATTAATCTAGACACCTGAGGGAGGCTGTGCGCGCGCGCGCGCGGTGTGTTATGAAGCATTTGGGGTCGTAATGTAGTCACTGGCCATTGTAGACTGTTTTTCGACAATGTGTAACAGAAGAACATGTTCCAGCCGTGACAAACGTTTACTCGCATCAGCCCCGGTCCCCCACGATGCACCCCTCTCACCTCCATCACCGTAGGTCTCCACGCCATATCCGTCCTGCAGCCCGTTATTCCAGGTGCCCTCGTACCTGGCTGGTGTGTTCAGGCTCTGTCGGACTCCATAACGACCCTTGAACCCGTGAGCCCACTCTCCCCGGTAAATCCACCTCCCTTTAGTTTCTACGCCGAGTCCGTGCCGTTTCCCTTGCGCCCAGTAGCCCTTATACACGTTGCCGCTGGGCCAGGTGTAAACTCCGACCACCTCGAAACCGTTGGCCCATGAGCCCGAGTACTCACCCTGGCCCTTGGGTCCGGTGCACACACCGTGGCCATGGGCTTTACCGTCCTCCCAGCCTCCGCAGTAGGTGCCACCATCGTCAAAGTCGAACCGACCGCCCGTCATTCAGAAACGGATGATAATAGTACTACTTGGTGTCTTATGGAGTCCAGACTGTACGAATTGTTTTTAGAAGCAAGGAAATGTTGACATGGACGCCCCGGTGAAAACACGAGCATTCAGCGGAGGTGTGAGAGAACGGGGAGTGATGGCGGCCGGGAGCATCGGCAGAGAGAAAGCGGGACGTGGGAGGGTGAGGAGACGCAGCCACCACAGCGCCAACCGTCGCTCCACTGCTGAGCGCCGGACGAGCCGCACAGCCGCACTCCTCTCTGAAGTCAAGACTGCTATACGAACCATGCTCGACCAAGATGATGCTTCCTCTGTGACTTTTCAGAATAGGAGCCACACAATATTTCCGAGTAATAACAGCGATGAGATTTGACTGCAGGAGGGACAAGCAGTGAGCTATATAGAGAGAAAAACTCTATCATTTTATGTCACCATATATTGCCTGAAAAATCAGTGAAGAAGTATTACATGCATAAAACATCCAGGAATGTGTGTTCTTTGCTAAGCCATCAGACAAGCCAAGGTGCTTTCTTACTATATGAACTCATACATTGCTCTGTGCCTCAATATAATGAGGATGGCAACATCTCTAAGTTTAGAAGATTTCTATGATAGGCCTTCTCCATTCAGGTCACTAGCAGGGCCCTGCCCTTGCTAAGTACAAATGGAAATTTGAATGAATGAAATCTAAGGATAGGGAATGCTTGTGTATACTTGGTTGCTTGTGCACTTGATGCTTTTGGGAAAGGTTAGGGAGGTTCATGCTGCTCTCGATCACTGGCAGACCCCAGCAGCAATAGAAGGACAGAGGGAAAATGGACGGGTAACAAAAAGCGGAAGGTGAAGTATGGAATTTGAGCAGGTTAAATAATGTGAAAACAGAAGATTCGTAGTTGGGCTGAGGCCCATATTTTAAAGCTACAGTGGCAAACATTTATCTGCCCAAGCATAAAAATTACATTCTCCTCCTGCATCACAAATGACAATAGTTGTTACAATAATTGTTACATAATAATGTTAGGACTAAAATACCTTAAGATGCAGCCGTATGGAAGGCTAATTTGAGGGTTTGCATTCTGGGAAGTCCTTTATGTAAAAGTCTTGGTTTTCTAAAAGCATCTGTAGCTGTTAAGAAGGCTGATTTCTAAAATTAGAAATGACACCAGTTGTTGTCACTGTCAGGCCTACACATAATGCACATCATGTAGGCTAATATAGGTACCAAAGAACTATAGTGGAAATAAATAATGTACTATATTCAAAACATCACTGTAAATGAAACTGATGTTGATTTATCATAATTGTCCCAGTGGCAGTAGGTACATATGACATTACTTACCCCCAAAGCATTAAGAAATGTGCTTTTATTTTGAAAGCAGAAACACCATGCAACTTGTACTTTTGTAAATGTTAGGAGCTTCATGGCTGCAGGCCTGTCAAGCATGCAAACTCAGTTAAGATAAGAATTCAAGAGCTTACACATGTCAAGGATTGAGTTCATTGGTTCCAACACAACTTCAGAAACTGCCTGTACATTTAACTTAAAGCAGTTATAAATGTACTAAAGCCGAGTTCACATGTCAGAAAAGATTCCGGAGTATCCGGAGAGAACCCACGCAGATACAGGGAGAACATGCAGACCCCACACACCAAGGCACCAGGTCTACCAGGGCTCAAACCACTAACCCCTGCAACACTATACCACCCAGCCCAATATCATTATTGCTACTGATTGCTTTTGTATGTCACAATTTAGAATTCAGTGTAAATATCGACAAACAGAAGATTGATAGATGTAAAGCTTAATGTTTCTCTCTAAATAATATAATTAAGGAAAAGCAGGTGCCCCCCACCCACATGTTGATTAGTTCAGGGCTTTCTCTCTAAATAACTATTAGTGTAAAAAATGTATAAATTCTCTTTTCAGAAGCTTGGTAATTAAATAAATATTAAATTAATATAGCCAAAAAGGCATACATCATGTCATAAATCTTGACTTCACACCTCAGTTTGACAAAGGGGCACTCTATTATTCTCTTAATATATGCTGAACAAGTTAGTTCTGTGGCACCTGATTTTAAAAGTAAAAAATATTTGTACATGTTATAGTCATGACTTCAAGGGACCCTGAAAGCAGCAACAGTCCACCTCATGTGCCCCATGTCAATTGTTCTATTGTAGGCACAAAGACATGTCTGATAACTGGCATCTCCATTTAATGTCAAACACTGCCATCTTCTGGAAAGTACAGTTTTCACAGCTGCTGCAAAGGTTTCTTCTAAAGCCTTTTTTATGTTATGACATCCATTTAAAAGAACTTTTCTTCAAGCTGTGATAAAGGTTGAAATAATAAAAGCATGTAATCAGTAATGATGCCACAGTCAGTAGTGGCATTAGAAGTGAATATGCTCATTTGGGAGATGTGGAACCCAAGGAGTGTTTATTTAACATACCCTGAGTCTCTCACACCCAAACTGGAAAACTCAAAAGCCAGTTCTATTTCTTACTGTATACCAGCTAACTCCACCTTATTCAGAGTTTTGAACTGAATTCTCAGACTTTCCTACAACTCTCACATAGTGTAGGTTTCATCCCATACAGCAGTTCTAGAAACATCTGTTTCTATTGTTTAGATTTAGACTTCTTCCCTCTCATAGATCTCTCTGAGTTAAGGCCTGGATGACCTGTAATTTCTTACTTCTAAACTCTGACAAAACTGAAGTTATTGTACTTGGGCCTGAAAACCTTAGAAATCTGCTGTCTAACCATATAGCTACTCTAGATGACATGGCACTGGCCTCCAGTTCTGCTGTGAGGAACCTTGGAGTCATTTTTGACCAGGATATGTCCTTTGAATCACACATAAAGCAAGTCTCTAGCAGCTTGTCATGTGACACACATCACATGAATTCCATAACAGACATCGGGAATAACACAAAGTCGGTGTAGGACTACTGAAATAGCTGAGTACTTCAGTATTTTATGCTTTTGATGCATGTTGATGACCAGAAAATAAGACAATAGCATATCCTGAATTAAAGTCACACTTCAACCCACAACGATGTGCATCAGTTCACTGATGTGTGGGCTTTCACTGAAAATAATGTGTGTGGGTGTTTTAAGGCTTGTCACAGGTAGCCTGTGCGCAGTGCCCTTCAGAGTGGTTGTGGTTCCTAGAGTCCACAAAAGTAGAATGGGAGGCAGAGCCTTTAGCTATCAAGCTCCTCTCCTGTGGAACCAGCTCCCAGTCTCAGTTCAGAAGGACTTAAGACTTTGCTTTTTGATAAAGCTTAGGTTGTCATGGCTGCTGTCCAACTTCCTGTTGACCAAGGCAGATTAGTTGTTCCGATTCCTTTTTTGTCTCTGGCTCAGCACAGATTGTGGGTGTGCCCTTGATTGCCTGCACCTGTGCCTAATTGTCATTGATTATTTCACCTGTCCTGCCTTCTGAGCCAGTCACGGATCTTCTTTTGGTGTTTCTGCAGAACGTTCCATCCACTTATCTGATTTGTTTGCTTCAACCTGACCTGTCCGTCTCTGACTACCACCTTGTTTAGCTACACTGGGTTCTGCTCTGATGTCTTGATTAATTAGTTGTCTAGTAAACTGTCTCTTTGGTTTGTCCTCCCTGAGTTTTTGTTCTTTTGACTATAGGTATGTGCATTGAAGAAAGGAATATCTTCAGAGAAACCTCTTGTGGTTACTCACCTGTTTGCTCTGTGTTTTTGAAGTCTCTAGTCCTCTATCCTGTCAATCAATTTTCTGCTACTTATCTGAGATTGGGTCGTGGTGGCAGCAGGTTCAATAAGGTAGTCGAGATGTTCCTCTCCCCTGCAATGTTTTCCAGCTGCTCTGGTGGGGTTCCGAGGTGTTCTCAGGCCAGATGAGATATATAATTTCTTGGGGTCTACAATGGAAACTCATTTCAGCTGCTTGTTATCACATATCTGTTGAAGTTACCTGTATGGTCTGCCATCTGACACGGTGGAGTATTCATTCAATCTGACATTCAATCCCCTTTCTCTAGCCACAACACCACTATCCCATCCAAAATACCTGCTTCTTGTTCTTTGGCTCTCCCAACAAGGAAGGAGTACTTTATTTGTTGGATGTTCCTATGTGTGTCCTTTAAGGTTTTCCCAGTAATTCATCATTAGTTGTTTTCATCTCAAGTTAAATGGCATTTCTCCCATCTCGACCCGAATCGCATTAACTAGTGATGTTGTCAAAGCACTACAACTTGTTCTTAATGCCTTTAGTCTGTATAATTTCCAATTTCTGCAATATTGTTTTTATAGACAGGGGCACCCATAGTCTAACACTGGCCTTATGAGTGCCACATATCTATTTTTAATGCACGCCTGCTTGCCCTCATTCTGCTCCAGTAAGACATTTCATAATATTTAATGCCTGACATTTAGTATGAATTCTGTTAATATGTTCATTCCAGGTCAGTCTTGAATCAAACCACATTGTCAGAAACCTAAAGGCTCTCATCTCTATATCCTATCCAGATGTCCCAGGTGATCAGCACTCATTCCCTGCCTTCCTCTCTTCTACTCTGCCAAGTATCATAATGAAGAATTATACCACTGACAATGAGCTGAGGGAGGAGAGGTGATTTAAAGGCAAGCCAGGCTGGATAATGTGCAACAGCTGTATGTAATATAGGTCAATCAGGGGCTGAGTAAAGCTGGGGCTGGTGAGCATGGCATGGGACAGAAAATGACTTCAAAATAAAAGCTCAAAAAGATACAACAGAACCATGACACCTTAAGATTTGTATTCTTTTCATACAAAGCTGCAATAGAATTGTATCACTTCACCTAAGTGATCTGGCGTGTGCATTTATGATCTATAAAGTAATCACTCCATTATGATACTAGTGGTCAAACCTTCAGGGGCATAGGGTACCTTTAAAACGTCTTGTAGAACCATGTCACCATATTTTTTTAGCCTTTATGTGTGAGGCCTCCACAGAAAATCGGCTAAAGAACTCTAATGATGCTGTATGGACATCAAATAACCTTTATACACATGATGCAAACAAAATGGAGACTTGCGTATCACAACATTGCTTTGTAGTGGCAACTGGTAGTAATTTATGTCAGAGGCACTACAGACCATGTGGACTTATGCTTACATTCTAATACTGTTATTGTCTCATTTAGAGCACTGTTTCATTTACTACAAACTGAATTAGAAAAGCAAACATATTCAATCCATCAATGACATCTTTAAATTGTTTCTTTTCTCTCCAATGTTTGAAGGCCACGATATGCTAACGCATAGGAACAGAGCTTAACTTCTCACACTAAAGTGGCACATTTGAAACATATTAAAGCTCCAA